CCCAACAATTTATCCCACAGTTTGCCAAGAACTGGGAGAGATGGATTCAAAGTTCCATGATAAACATTTAAGGATGAGGAAGGGTAATTTCCCCATGTCATGTGTGCATGGACTGGATAGTCTATTGTACTGCTATTGGTATGTAGAATTATTATGTATCAATGGAAAGAAAAAACTCCAGAAAACTGTTGCAGGCCTAAGGAAAAAAAATACTAAACAAGTAAAACAGGTCTTTAACCCAAATTCTCCAAACATGTTATTCATACCTTTTTATCAAATAACATTATTTAAAAATATTCCCAAGTAGCTACAAATGCTTTCACACCCTCCTATTATACAGAACAATATCGGTAATGGCTTTACAATCCTAACTACCTGTGATCAGATATTCTCCCAGTGGCAGAAAAAGAGCCAGAAATTTACAAGCTTTCATCTCTAACCAAATCTCTCTCTCTCTCTCTCTCTCTCACTCTCTCTCTCTCTCTCTCTCTCTCTCTCTCTCTGTCTCTCTCTCTCTCTCTCTCTGCTAAATATCAATGACATAGTTAAGTTAAATATTGAACCAGAATCACAGTGACTTAAGTAACATCTGGCCTCTGAGAGTCAACATGGAATTACTTTAATTCTCAGTGATTTCTGTGAAGCCATGGCTTTGCTCCTTCTGTGGTTCCATCCAGTCAAGGACTCTGCTGCACCCAGAGTGAGGTACAGCCTGTGACAGGGGCCGAGTGAGGGGTGTCTAGCATGCTACTCATTGCTATTTCCACTTATCTCCCTCAGACACAGGCTCGCACCAGGCAGAGGAGGAAAGGCTGGGTCTCACTGCAGTGTTCTCTGTATGAAGATGCCCCTCTTGCTATTGGTTGACCAGGGCCTTGCCTTGTCTGTGGCTTCTCCACTCAACTTCTCTGCCATTCTCACTCTGTACTGCTCACAAAGCTTCCGGGGATCCCTGACTCTGGTTCTTGGCCTTTCTGAGTTTTACCCTGTGTCTTCCCAAACATGCTGCCTCAATGCGCACTGTTTGACTGTCCAGTGGAATTCAGGGCTAAAGGATCCTGTATTCCAGTTCCTTCTCATCTAGTGAAACACATCCTCTCTTCCCTCCCTCTGCCCTGGTTTTCACAGCTCAGCCAGAGGATGACAACTGTAAATGGTCTTCACAGATCTGCTGGAGTTGCTCAATTAGAGAGAGAAGAACTTGGCTCCAATATAAAAATCCTCTGAGAAAAAGTCTTCAACCTGGGCCAACAAAATTGGGTTTCTGGTTAAAGCAGTCTGGAGGGAAAGACAGGTCAAGCAGCCTCCTCTTAGCCACTGATTAGTATATTCGCTGGGAAAGCAGGGCTGGCTCCAGCAGGGGGCAAACCCTTTCTTAGGAGGACTTGCTTGCTGCCACCATCAGCACCAGGCCAGCCCTTACTGAACTGGATCTCTCACCAGGGCTCCAGCATCACCCAGACTCCATATGTATGCTCAGCATGGCACACTATGACAGCCTCCCGTCCCCTGGGTGGGTTCTGGAGACTCCTCCATGTGCCCTGTGCTCCTCCACAGACTGTCACTGTGCCCTGTGCTCCTCCACAGACTGTCACTGTGCCCTGTGCTCCTCCAGACTGTCACTGTGCCCTCCTCCACAGACTGTCACTGTGCCCCTCTCTTCCTTTCAGATGCTGTCTGCCTGCCCTGTGAGTCACTAACTCGTTTTTTGGCACCAGGCCCCTTTCTTACCATTTTCAGAGCAGTCCTTTTAACTGTCCATCAACGGCTCATTTGAATGCTACAAAATGTCCCAAACTACACTCCCTAGCTTCCCATGTTACCGCCCGCGGCAAGCAAGCCCACTGCTTGGCTCTCCTTCACGTTCGTCTTTGCCCGAGTTCTGCAGCTCCGTCAGCTTCTGCCCTGGGACTGTCAGGTCAGCGTTTGTCACTGTGGTGACAGCGTCTCATGCCTGAAATTTCCCTCCCACCTTTGGGCCCTGGAAACACTGGCCTCCTGTTCTCACCTTGTAGCCACTGCCTTCTTCTGGCTTGTGTTATGCTCTCCCAGGAGGGTCCTCCTGGACCACATTCTACAAACTGAGAGTCACACTGGACACCGTGGTCCTCCGTGTGCTGCTTTCTCACCCTAAGTGTCTCTTTGCTGCACTGCTCGCTCTGTGTCACGTTTAGTGACTGCTCGGTCTGCTCTGTAGCCCCATGGCCATCCCAGTCTATGTGGTACCCTGCTCACTCTGTGACATCTGCAACAGTGTCTGGTTTATATGAAGCACACAGGAAAATGTATGTGGAGGGGCGGATTTCAGCTTGGCTCAGGACCAGGCACATGGTAGTTAAATATGTATTTGTTGGATAAATGGCCAAAAAGAGAGAGAATCTGCCTAGGAACTCTGTGCCCGTGGATTCTGGCTCGTTCTCTTCACCACCACTCCCCCATAATGGGGAGCAGCTGCAAGGGGCTGCCTCGTTAGCTGGGAGATTTGGTGTTTGCCTTCGCTTGGAGCTAATTATAACTGGGAACCGATGAGAGGATTAGAAGGGTTTCGTCTGTGTGTAGTGGTGGTTCGGTAATGGCGGAAGGAATGCTAGCTTCGATTTGGAAAGGGCCAGCTCAGCAAATTTATAGTGTAAATAAAGGAAAAGTTTAACTTACTTAAGAGCAAAGCCAATAAACAGTTTTGAAGTGCCATTAACAGCATTTTATATGCAAACACTGTTGTGAAACAATGAATGTGATCATTACAAGCTTTTATTTAATGTTCTTTGGAAAGCACGGCTGAGAATCTCTGATATGTGCACCGAATCCCATAATTCCTCACACCAAGAGGAGGAGGGCCTGTCCTCAGTGCCTTGGCTCTGTGAGGCAGGCATCTCATTTATATAAATCTCCAGGGAGGCAGAAAACTCCCTTTAACACTGCATGGTCTTTGGAATTTCCAGAACAAGGATACACAGATGACATCACATTGAGGGCAAGACAAGAACCCTGTCACTTAGTGTGTGAAAGAATGCCTCATTTTTAGCTTCTTGAGCCTCTTTGGACTTTAATATGAAGGGAAGAAGCTCTTGGCAAGACCTTAGGGGTTCTCAGAGACCATAAATGGAGGGCCCATGTTGGTCAAGATGACCTGTTTTCCTTCTGTGAGCCTCTACGGCCAGAGTCAAACATAATCATAGTCATCTGTCCTCTGTTTGCTGGCTCTGTCCTGCAGCAGGAACTACAGCTGATGTTTGGATCTCTGCAACGCCGGTGTTCACTACTGTTCAAGTGTCCCAGACTGCCAACTCACTTCACCAAGGGGAAGTCAGACTCTAAACCTCGGGGCACATTTCCTGCTCATAAATGACAGTGACACAGCCATGAAGCTCCAAGCAACCATGGTGGGTTTTCAAAGCCTGCCAACGGAGCACAAAGATGCAACATTGATGTGCTTGGGAAGCCAGTAGTTTGATTTGTATCCAAACGGAAGACAAGGCTTGGCTGGAACCTTTTGTGTTCTGTGTAAGCCCTACTCTTTTGTCTGTATAAAACATATCAACAATCTGTATTGTTGTGGTGGTTTGAATGAGATTGTTTGAATTCCTGGGCCCCAGTTGCTGGAACTGTTTGGGGAGGATTACGAGGTGTGGCCTTGATGGAGAAGGTGTATCACTGGGGGTTGAGCTCATACCATCCCAGTCTCCCCCCATCTACTTAATGATAAGGATTAAAAGTTCTCAGCTACTGCTCCAGCACCATGCCTGCTCGCCTGCTGCCATGCTCCCTGCCATGATGATCACAGACTCTAGCCCTCTTGAACAGTGAGCCCCAAATTAAACATTTTCTTTTATAAGTTGCCTTGGTCATGGATTTTTATCAAGGCAATAGAAACATAACCAAGACAACTGTCCAATGTGATAGCCACTAGTCTCACCTGTATTCAAATTCAAAATAATGACAATGAAACAAAAGTTAATTCAGTTTCCCAGTCATAACAGCGATACAGCAAGTGCCGAGTAACCTGTGGCTTGAATGAATGAGGTTTCCAAAAGCACAGGAAATGCCTGGGGCATCACTACCATAGAAGCTGTACTGTCACGCCAAGGGATGTTCAGGCAGGCAAGCAGAATTTAGCTGTACTTTCACAATCAATAAAACAAATACACGACTCCCTTGGAATTCCTGTGCCCTCCAAGTCTGTTCTTTTCTAGGTAACACGACGTGATGAGTGAGGTACTCCCAGGCTCAGCCTCATGCTCTTGTTAGTTTCTGCTCCTTCATAAATAGCCTGGGTTCTCTTAGGTGACCACAGTGGGCCCATCAGCACCTTGATGCCATCCTATATGACTTGGAGCAGTTGAATGCAGAGGATGGATGGTCTGAGCCCTGGGAGAAGGAGGCTCATCAATCTATTCGTCTCGGCATGGTTACAGAACATTAATGAGGTTGGGCTCGATTTAAAAGCTGTCTGAGGCATTATGGATGGTGGTGCGAAGTTTCTCGGGCGCTGGGAATTTCTGAGATATAATCCTAGCCCTTTTGCTAATGAGTATTGTGATACGGAGACTATCATTTAACTTCTGAGTTTCGCTTTCCTGCCCTGAAAATGGGGCTATTACTGACCTACCTAACCCAGTGTCCAGAGGATTAATGCGCCAATGCGCGGGCAGAGCTCTGTGCATGAAGCCTGCTGTGAGCCATTACATCTATTCATTCCATGCAGCAGTTGGGAAACATTAAGTCTGGGATGTTTACTCCTTCCAAAATGCATTTTCCTCCTCAGCATTGTAGCGTTACCTGCATTATCCAAACCCTAAATCTAAAAGTAAAACCAGGTCCCCAGAGAGAGGTTGCCTTGACGTAGCTGGGGTCGAAGATGATTTTTTTCCTTCGCTTAGCACGAGCCTTAAAACTAGCTCTTGCAGCAGAGATGAAGGCAGCAATCGCACAGTAAATTCTCACTGCACGAGCCTGCTGCAACCCTGCCAGGGGCACACACCGCCACTGCCGACACTTACATGCAATGATGTTCCCGTATCTGTTCTTCATCCTGTTCTCGTCTTTCTTAGCAGAGTCCCATGGTGCAGACTGTCCTTCAAAGAAGCTCTGGAAGAGACAGGAAGTGACACTCAGCATGACAATTTGATGTAGTGAACAGAGGGATCTTAATCGGAGGGCGTGTCCTTAAAACGTGGGGCAATGGTCAAGCAGGCAGTAGGCACAAGAACAAAGCTGTTTTATTTTGAGACTGTTTTGTTTGGCTTTTGTTAAGCATTTTTTTTTTTTTTGCATTGGCTAGCATCTCACAGAGATAGAGGTAAGGAGAAAACCCACAATTTATTTGAACAATACTCCACTAGAATATCCAATGAAGAAAAAAAAAACATTCCCCAAATTTCTTCATTATAAGTTTTCACTACTCTATTTAAAGACATATGAAGGTACTTTTTTTCTCCCTAATAAATAACCAAAATATGAAGGTACTTTTTTTTCTCCCTAATAAATAACTAAAGGAATGTTATTTTGGACTAGAATCAGAAAGTAGGGAAGTTAACACTTCATGACTTCAAGATTAAAATCTTATAGTATATTCTGAATGTTATTTGGATATATTATACCTGGGGTCTTTAATAGTCACATTAGGACTTCCTATCACACTTGTAATGAAAATAACCTTTTCTATCAGTGGACAAGTGGCAGGATCGATCCTGGGCTTCATTCACACATTAGTGCTCACAGCGTTTCCTTGTGTGGCCAATGCTGCACAGAAGTTACTGGCAGCACACAGTAACAAGGAAGTTGAGAAAAAACTTGTTTCTTGTCATTGTCACAGATGATGTCATTGTCGCAATGATGAGTTAGGGCTCAAGCAGTCACAGACTTGCCTGCCTGCCTCCCTGCCTGGTGAACAGTGTCCCAACCTTGAGTACAACGGGCAGTGCTCAGTGCACTCTGTCGTCGTCTGCTCGTCTGTGTCAGGCTGGAATCTGAGAGGGGAGGGGACTGCATGGTCTGCATTTCTGTTTACCTGGACCTTAGGCCCTCATCGCTTATATCAATAACACAGTTACTGAATGAATGATGGACGGCACTGCTTTGCTAAACTAGATGAGTGCTTTGATAGAAAACAACGCGTTCTAAGACTTTGGAAGCCTGTCTGTAATTAGTCCATTTTCCATAATTTGAATGACATACCAGAGGCAGGCTACTTAAAAAGAAAAAAGAGGTTTGTTAATTCACACTCAAGATCAGGTGGCCCTGCTTGCTTGGCCTCTGGTGGTGGATGACATCACGTTGGGGCACACTGGCAGTGGGGGTCAGGGGAGACATGGGGAGGCTGAGAGACTGGGATTTCCAATCCTTTCAGAGGGTCTCTTCCAGCTGACCTAAGAATTTGTCATCAGCCTCTACTGCTTAATGGCTCCATCTCAAAATAAAACGTGAGCACAGTAAAGTGCAAACTTCCATCCCTGGCCCTCTGAGGGGCAAATGGCATCTGAACACGGCACCCTCTGTATACACTTCACAGATTTCATTCAGATACAACTGTGCCATCCTCATTTTCATATCATATCCTAGAGTCTAGCTGAGGTCTCCAAACTAATAGGCTGGAAAAGTCCCCGATCATAGCTCTGTCTGACCCCTGGATTTTATCCCTTGTCATCATCAGCATACCCATGGCACAAACTAGGAGAAGCCACCGCTGCACAGCATGAAGAAACAAAGGGATCATACCACTGATGTCAGAACTGAGTATTAAATTGCCCACCTTCATCTAAGGTCCCTTTAGCCATGATCATAAAAGACACTCCACTGGAGAAAAATATTTAAAATATACTTATCATTGTGAAAAATCTCAAGGAGTGTGGCTGGAGAGATCAATCAGTGGTTAAGCGCACTTGTTGCTCTTGCAGAGGACCTGGGTTTGGTTCCCAGCACCCATATAAGGGCTCATAACCATCTATAACTGTAATTAGTGGATCTGATGCTCTTTTCTGGCCTCTACGGGCACAAGCTGCATGCAAAACACTCATACATATAAAATAAAAATTTCACAAAAAAATCCATAAGAAAAGTGAAGAAAGGTTCTGTGTATGAATAACTGAAGGGGCAGCCATATATCACTGGCTGAAGAATAAAGTACCCGAGGACAGAGGACAGATAAAAATGAAATATTTTCAAGTTATTGGTAAATTGAGACAATAAAACACAGCTAAAAACTCACCAGATAATTTCACCTGGAACTAGACCACAATATAACCAGGAGATTAGAAGCACATAACCCATGACAAGCTACAGTATGTTAACTCTACTCTGCCCTATAATACACATTTAAAAATAGCTCCAGGGATTTTTAAAGTCAAATATTCTCGTTCTGAAAGTGTCTTTGTTATTCTATGAATGACAATTATTTCACAGTTTGAGTAATAACTATTATTTGACTTCTAACAATGTAATTCTACTTTGAGTTTGTCATGATTTAATTACCAATTTCACTTCCCCTGCCTTTTCTACTCATTTCAAAAGTTCTGCTTTTTTTCTTTATTATTCTGTAGGAAGACAGAAGCAGACAACTGACTTTGAGGGGGACTCTGACATCTTCAAGTGAACCCTCTACTGCAGTTTATGGGGTCACCAGAGGCAGAGCTTCACAGATGTTCGGACAACTCGTCCCTCTCCAGACAGGCAGAGGCTCACCCTCACTGTGCAGTGTGTCTTTAGTGTAATCATGGAACTTTAAAGAGCCCTACACTTGGCTGTTATTTGAGCCCATTGTTTCCATTTAATTGGTGACCAGAAAAGACCCAATCAGCAAATGGGAAAGCAACCATTCCGGTTGCATTTCGGCACCCTGGAATGTTTTATTCTGGATGGGGCTTGCAGGCTGTCATCTCTGGGCTCTTACTAAGGTGGGCAATCAACTAGAGCCTGAAGATGAATGAGTTCATTGTCTCAGCTGAGCCTCACTGGGGTAAAGGTAGGCATGAGCAATGTGTTTTCTCACCCCTGCTCTTGTGGACCACCCTGTTCTGGTGGGACTTTAAAGGGAAAGGCAGTACTGTTTCTACCGAAAAGGAGCTTCCATATCTAGTTCAAAATTCCTTGTTTCTAATGAGGAAAATATTAAAGGGCCAGCAAGATGGCTTAGCAGATAAAGGTGCTTGAATCCAAGCCTACTGATAGATTCCACACCGTGGAAGCGGAGAACCTATGCCAACGATTCGCCCTTTGACATCTACATGTGGTGGTCACACCCACACAGCCACACATATACACCTAAAGTTTAAAGAGAAGTAAAGATTTAAAGACATATCAAGCAAATGTTGTCCTGTTGTTGCCTGCTTGTTATAAAGCAGGTGTTTTCTTATATGATACATGAAGCAGGGCTTTCGTTTTGAGCCACTCAACAGCCTATGAAGGGACTGTGGGACTCACTCTAACTGGAGAAATGTATTTTCCAACAGAAAAGCCAACACAAAACCAAACAAAGGGGTGCTGTGAGGAAATGATGGGATGGCCATCACCCTCATGCGACCACTTGATTCCTTAGTAAAGCAGCAAGATTGCATCTTGGACTTGGGCAATTGTGCTCCAACTTCACAGGCAAACACTCCATGAAAATACACCATTTAGATCATACCTTCTTATCATAGCCTTGGAAATAAGATAATACACGCATGGGGGCCAAGGGGGCAAGAGAGAGCTGCCAGGACTGGCCGTTGTGACCTTTGCTGGAGATGCTAAGTGCAAAGTTTTTCAATCGGAAATCTCTACTAAGACTAAAAACCAGTTTTAGAAGTTAGGGTTTTTATTCGAATACATTCTAAAAATATCTAAGAGCATTTATTTTTTAGATTTTAATTTCTTCTTATGCCTAAGGCAGTAAGTTAGGACGCTAATTTAGCCAAAGCCTCAACAGTAATGGGTGCTGTGCGGGGCTGTAGCAGGACACACAGGTTAATCACCGTCTTCATTGCTACAACGCCAAACATCTGACTAAAGGGAAAAATGATTATTTTGGCCTGGTTTCAGAGGGTCCAGCCATGGTTGCTTGCCTTCCACCTGATAGAGCAGCATGGTGGCAGGAAAACACAGAGAGCAGAGAACCCTGACATTAGCTTCATCCTTTTCACTGTTGTGTGTTGTTCAGGTCCTCAAGCCCAAGAAATGGTGCCATCTAAATCCAAGGTGGATCTCTCTATCTCCATAATGCATCCTGGAAAGGAATTGCCAATCCATAGGTGACTGTAAATCCACTCAAGTCAACAGTGAAGAGTACTCAGCACACAGCACCCAGGGTTACTCAGCACACTGCACCCAGAGTTACTCAGCACACAGCACCCAGGGTTACTCAGCACACAGCACCCAGGGTTACTCAGAACATAGCACCCAGGGTTACTCAGAACACAGCACCCAGGGTTACTCAGCACACAGCACCCAGGGTTACTCAGAACACAGCATCCGGAGTTACTCAGAACACAGCACCCGGAATTACTCAGAACACAGCACCCAGGGTTACTCATCACTCAGAACCCATGATTCTCTTGGTTTCAAATTCTGAGAGACTAGAACATAGGTCATTAGCGCTGTACAACTGCTTTGCATCTAGTCTGTAGCCACACCCCACAGAAATGTGCAACCCCATACATAGTGGATGACTTCATTCTTTCTCCCTCTGAGAGACTGAGGCTTCTGACAGCGCTATTAATCCATTATGTGCTTTGTTTTGTGTTTGCACACCACAAAGTGGATTATCACTAGTAAAGTTACCAACAAGCAGAATATACAGTAGGGTATCAAGACCTGAGACACATTCTCCTGGGGAGTCAATAGGTTGCTTGTCAACAGACTGTTAGTCAATAGATTGGTTACATTCATTTTCACCTAGTGTTGGTTTTTAAGTCTCTCTTAATTAATAGCTTTATAAAACCCACATCGTGCACTTTTTCTATGGGCAAGAATAAAAAGGTTTCTGAGCTTGTTCTCTTTTAATATTTTAAGAGGTCAAAGGTATACAACTTTCTTTAAATGACACAGATTGAAGCTTTGCTTAGAATTCAACCTTGAACCAATACTCTTGGGAAGAAACAGGACATAATTTATGC